CAAAGGAATAACTGAGTTGGTAAATACTTGAGATATGGGAAGGACAGAGGGGAGCTGGTTTTGGTAGACTCTCAAGAGCTCAGTTCTGGACATTTCACTTTGAGATGCTGGTTAGATAGACACTGTAGATTTCAAATAGGCAGTTGGATCTCGATGTATAGAATTTAGGGCATTCAGGGTGGACATGTACACTTGAGAATCATTAATATAATCTAAAGCCACTGAAGTTGGATTAACTATCCTGGGAGCAAGTGAAGACCTCCCCCCCCCCAAAAAAAAGTTCCAAAATTAAAAGGCAAGTTGATGAAAAGAGAGCAGTTAGAGATTAGAAAGGGGCATCTAGAATGATAGGAAGAGAATCAGGCAAGTGTATTGTCTGAAAGACAAGAGAAAAATGTGTTTCAAGACTGAGATGGTGAACAGCTAGAGAGATCAAGTAAAATGAGGACTGAAAGTCGATCCTTGGAATTAACAGGGTGGTCACTGAAGACTGAGAAAAACTGGTGAAGCAGTAAAGGCAACTGTAGTGGGTTTAAGAGGAATTGGGAGGGGAGGAACTGCCAACAGCAAGTGCAGGCAGCCCTTTTAAGGAGTGTATCTACACAGGGAAGAAGCAGGCATTGGTGGGGATGGAGGAAATGATTTATAATGACGGTAAGTGGGGAGAGTTGCTAGAGCGATACCTATGAGTGGGTGCTACAGGATGGGTGTGGCCTTCAGCAGGCGCGTGAGCTATTTACCCATAGCAACTGGAGAGAAGGCGGAGAGAAAGATGCTGAGACTGCTTCATCACTTGCAGTGAAATTGGAAGCAGGGCACTCTTGCTGAGGATGGGGAAGGACAGGTTGGAGGTAGGAGGCAGAAAGGAAAGTCTGAGCTAGTTGGTGGGAGAGTGGGAGAAAAATGGACTAGGGATATAGGAATCCTGGGCAGCCACAAGGATTTGCGAGGGGTGTGAACGGCCATGAATGTAAAGAACACCTGTCAGCAGAGTTGGGGCTTGGCTTTAGCCACATTCAGCAGCAGGAATATGAGCTTGGCCCACACAGATGGGTGGGTGTCACCACGATTGTGGGATTCCAGGGGAATGAGAAAGAAGCAAGAGAGTTATTAAGTTCAGACTATATTATGTGTTAGTATCTGAGTCTGGGTTTTGGCCTTATGGTAAATTGCCACCCCTGAGCCCCAAAGCAGTTTCTAAACATCTAGTTATAGATAGAACACTGCTAGGATTTATATAAATAGCTCACAGTTATCCTGCACTGCCTATGTGAACCTGGCAGTAAAAGTTTCCTGGTGGTTCTTGGCCATTCAAGACTTGGAGAAAGGGATAAATTATTTTACATGAAAATACTAGCTGCTCTTCCTTTAAAACATCAAGTAGTAACTCAGAAAAATTGTGTGCTTTGGGTTTATTTTTGTGGATCCCAATTTTCTTGTTTAAAATGAAATCAAAATAATTCTGGGTACTTTAGCTGGAGAGACCTATGAGGAAGACAGCTGCCTAAGTAGTAGGGTTTAGGAAGACTGGGACCACTCCTCCCAAACCAAATGCCCGTGCCTCTGCTGAAGCCGAGGTGCCCACAGAAGTGCTCTGTGATGTGCAGAAAGGGGTTAACCTTTGGCACCTGCAGAAGCTGGTGGCAAACTCAGAGGAGCAGAGCATCTGGGGGTTGGGACAGGCAGGGCACTCAGTCGCCTCTAAAAAGGGGCGTTGGCTTTTCTGTTACCACTGATGAGCACAGGACCAGTGGGGCAAAATCCTGCAATTTTTCAAATTAACCCAGAAATCATAACTTTTGCATGGAATCTCCAATTCTCAAAGGTTGGCAACATTTTTTCAAAAAGCATTTTTATGGGCAAACCAGAAAATTTTTGTCTTGTGTTGTAAAGCAGTAAGTACCTTTAAAAATATAAATCCTTTTGGGGTAATAGTAATACTTAATTTCATCCATTTTTCCTACTAGAATCTAGTGGAGAACATTTCAGCCTCTTTTTGAGAATTGGTTTTGTTAGATAGCAAAGTAGGAATACTGTGGCTGCTTCAGCCAAGGTGGCTTATCATGGCTTATTGTTCAGATCTGGATACCTGGTCTAATATGCTGATGTCCATTATAATCTTTTTATATATTCTCACTTCTTAAAACCAGACAAAAGATACCACAAAAACAGTTGAACTGTAGATATCAAGAATTTTATTTAATGAAATCACTCAAGTGTTGGGCCATCTATGTTTACCCTTACATTATATATGATTACTTATACAAGGATTCAGAATTTCAGTTACTTAAGAGTAGGATTCCTTGAGAGTTTTCCTAGAATATATTGATTTATTTCATGCCATTTCTCTGCTTTCGGCGAGATTACTACCTTATTCAGTATTTCTCCTCTTCCCGCTGAGATATTTGAAATGAATATCAGCAATATAAACCTACATAAAGAAAGCAGCCCATAAAACAAGAGTGTTCCCCTCCCCTGAGCAAGGAACAATGGGAGTATTGGTATCAGTGATTATGACAGTTACAGTGGCTACCATTTAATATTATCTACCAAATATTACTCTAGGTACTATGTACCCATCATCTCTACTCCTCACAATACCCCTAGAAAATTGGTATGTTTGTTCTCATTTTACAAATACAGAAACTAAAGTTCAGAAAGAAGAGGCACCATGCTCAGAGTGTCAAAGACAACAGCAACAGAGCCGAACATTAAACCCAGGAGTGTTCGATTGTATCCTGACATTCCCATTCACGGTTTGGCCAACAGTCCAAAACTATTAACGGTTTCTCCCTTCCTGGCCCTCTTGGAGTTTAGAGATATAAAGATGAACCCACAGTTCTTACCTCTAGAGCCATTATACTCCATCCAGTAGAGGAGACACAAAGATATATTTTCAAAACTGCATGGCTGGCAGGAGAATTATACCCAAATTACACTATATGGAGAGGATGAACAAGCTTAGAGCAGGGTGTAGGAAAGTTTAATCAAATGGATGATTTTCTAAATTGGATTTTTAGGAATGAGTAAGAATTAGGTTGAAGAAGTAGTAAGGGAAAGAATAAAAGCATAAATAGATGCATGATGCTTGCAGTAAATTGAAAGATGTTGTACTTCTGTACATTCAAGTTCAAGTTGAGGAGTAGCAGGAGACAAGGTGCTTGCCTGTATACTGAAGATAACACTGAAGAGTTATACGGTCAGATTTAGATTATACCCTAGCAGCCACTGAAGGATGGACTGGAGGACATATTTAGAAATTTTAGGACTCTTGTTTTTAACTATTTTGTTCTCAGAAAAATCTTCCCAGCAGAGTTTGTTATTTTGTGCATATAGTAAACTGCCTTTATCTTTACATCAAAGGTAAACTGTTATGAACTAATGAGACCATAGCAGGACACGTTGCTGTTGGCATTAGCCAGCATCATGCATGCATATAGTACCTATTCTCAAGAAAAAAAAGATGGACACAGTGTCAGCAGAAATCACAAATTTATTAACTCTTAAATATATCAATCAGTCATTTACCATTATGGCAAGAAATATATACAGTGTCCCATGGTAAACTGCAGTGTTTCAAAATGATAGAAGATAATAAATGTGTAATTCAGTTGTGGTGGAGAGAACAAATCACAATTTCCTCACATCTTAGTGCGGAAGACAAACTTGATCTATGGTAATACTTCAACACCACATGCTAAGTTAAAAGTGTAAAAAAAAAAAACCACTCTATACCTATTATTTTTAAAATACATGTATGCCACGTATAGCCAGTTCACAAAAAGGTAAAAGAAATCAAAAAGGGAAAAACGAGGCCATTACTTTTCACAGATCTCATTGGCAGGTTAACATGGCTCAATACATTTACTGTATATATTTATTTTAAATATATATTTTTAAATCGTGTAATTATCAGAAAAGCTTCAATCCATCTACCATACATCCACTAGCAACAATATCTAAGGTGATTAGTTAACACAGAAAGGTGAAATGAGAGAAAGAGGGAGGGTTGTTTAGTTTTTTGCTTCTGCTTTAAAAATAGGATTCTGAAGATTGTGAATTACTATTATTAAAATAACGCTGATGAAGATACCATGCACTATAAAGCATTTCAGGGAAGAAAAACAGCCTTATAGGAGTTGAATAAACAAAGGAGAAATGAGAAGCACAAAGAAAATCTGGGCATTTCCCTTTTCTTTTTAAACTGGAAAATCTGAACTCCTCAGAGGGAGATAATGTTACTGACACAAGAGAGAAGCTAAGAAAGCACAAGCCACAGAGATCAAGTTCTAAACACTTATGAGAATGGAAATCACTCGCCAGCCTCTCTGACTTTAGAAAACTAGCCCTGCTGGTGGAGCAGGAGGGGCCCCTCCCCACCAGGCAGAACTAAGTGTGTGTACAGGAAACCCTGATGCACTACAACCTGGTATTCTTGCCAGTCCCCCCAGCTGGTGGGACACTAGGAACCTCACTGTTTTTACCTGAAATTTAAGCAATTCTAATACCGCTGACCTAGGATCCCTATGTCCAAACTAGAGCCGAAGTAGAATAAGAAGACTTTAAAATCTTGACGTTTTTGTGGGTCCGGAAGATGATCAAAAGTGCTAGTTTAGTTACTTCCATGATGCAAATTTCACTTTCCTTTCTGTCTTGTAGTGTGTGAGAAAAGACAGAAGAGGATGGAGAAAAAGCAAACAGCAACGAGTAAGAGCAAATGGAGAAAAGAGAGCACATATTTGAGAAAGGAACACGAAACTCAGTGAATTCACCAAAAGTGTAAATATATCTTAAAGCGATCACTCATAAATTATGTGAATTTTTCCAGTTTACAGTTTGACCAAAAACAACATGACTTTAGATGGTAGCAAATCAACTGATTCTCATTTCCACATTCATGAGTGATTTTACCCACATATTAACCTACTTTGTTAGACAGCAATTTCAACCAGGATCACACCACAAAACTGAAGGTATATATATATATATATATATATATATTTTTTTTTTTTTTGCTTTTTGTTAAATAAGCCCAAAACTGATTAACAGCAAAGAGTTTTAAAAATTTACATTTCTCTTACAAATTGTCATTCAGAGAATAATTTTGAAGTCTGTTGTATCTTGGCATAAACAGAAACTTGATGAGTAGGTTGTACTTGGAATATTGTGGATTTTTTTTTTTTTTGTCTGACCTCCCCCTATTGTTTGCCAACAGTAATTGAAGTTTGCATGGAACATCCCCATAGTGCAAGTGTAAACAATGTATAGGAAGGAATATATGACAAGATGGTGCATCACATATGCATTACACGTAGGACCTTCATAACTTCATGCACTCAGAAACATGCATGAAGAGGAGGAGAGGGCGGCCCAGGGTTACCATCCAGGTGCCTTGAGAACAGAGAATGCAGAAGTGGCACTGTTGATATTTAGCTGAAAGAGAGGGGGGGGCGAGAAATAAGTTATATTGTTTTACAAAATATTGTCAAATTGTTTTGCCAAAGATGTGACCAGGCTATAGTTTTGTAACTCAGCTAAATTAATAGATCAAAAATACAACTGTATAAAAGATCTTTGCTTGTGATCATTAAAAGATGAAATACACAATCTTAAACAGAGACAATATTAAAATAGGAAACAATATTAGTTATCTATCAACTTGTCCACACAGAGCTAAGCTGAAAATAGAAACAGGAACCCAGGCTTCAATCACATTATTGAACTTGAATATGCATTGTAAGCATTCATGTTTACTAAACATATCATTTTTTTGAAAGAGTGAGAAGTTTAAGTGCATTCTTAGCTTTTGTCATTTTTCTTAGACTCCTTGGGAAGTTAAACCTGGAAGTCCATTTAATGAGGAATACAGCCTCAAAAGTAGGGAAAACATATTATTATTTAATTGGAGGTCTCTTTCTGTTTTTTAATCCAACAGCAGGGAGCACTATTTCTTAAAAGCTCTGACAAGGTTCAGTGCTTTGAGTGGAGGAGATATTCACAATATTAGCACACATATCTGAATCTTAATCCAAGTTAAGAAACAAATCTTAAAAAACAACACAGGCATGAATTTACAGTCAACTTTCAATTATCCTCTGGAATTACCCACTATGTAAGTTTTAAATTTCGGCTTGACTTCCTCTTGTGGCCTGTCTTCATAGTCAAATCCCATTATAGTTAGTCAGGCATAGCAAATTAATTTAATATATTAACCTTAGCCCAGTGTGTAACACAAATGACTACCTCTAGAAAAACAGAGACCAAAAAAATCCTAGAGCTTGACTTATATTAGGTCTGGATAATTGAGAGTTGTCTGAATTGACCCAGACTGGACTTCCGATGAGGAATTCCAGGATATCCGAAAATGCCAAGATCCATATGCTGAAGGGAGGCTCTTCTCAGCACTTAATACCTTTAAAACAAGGGTTATGCTATAAAACGAGGCTGAACATTAGACTCAAGAGCTCATGCAAAAATCCTTTAAGTTTTCAAAGACCTTTTATATTTTCCATCAAATATAATGCAAAAGAAAATATCCGTAAAGGCAAGAAAAAACAGCCATGCAGCTTTTTAGTCATTAGCTCCATTCACAACGTATCATGGAGCAGGATGTTACTTACAAGACCCATATGTGAATGGTTTTCAGGCCTTAGATGTTTGGCCACAAAGAGGTGCTTCCTGAGAAGTTTTCTTTCCCATTTGGAATACAGGATGGCCTATTAAGAGAAGCCCCATTTAAGCCACCTGGCATAAAATGAAGTTTTCTTAAATAGGCTCTATCCCATAAACACTTCAGGGAATTGCAGAAAAACCTAATCCTATAGTACTGTATGAATGTAATCCCTTCCATATTAACTGGCAATTAGTGCTGTACCTCTTTGGGGTAAAAAACACACAAACATGGGTGTCTTCATTATTATATTCCTTTTGTCATTCTCTTAATATGCTGGAATTCATTCTCAAAATAATAGCTATCTTTTTTCCCTTCATCTACTTTTTACAAATCCAACAGTGATATCTAATTATTAAGGCTATAGAGAAGGCCTTTGAAAACCACTGTGGTATGTTATTAAACTAAGAAATTTTGATAGATTCTTTGGAGTTGAATGGCTGTTTGTATAAATTTGACTCTCCCATCCCACTCCCCACCAACCCCCCAAATATTACAGGTGATTCTGGTGAGAGAATTTGGAATGAGATCAGCAGTGCGCTGAACCTGAGTCTAAATTCCCCTTCTTGTTTTCATCTCATCCCTTCACTTATGCAACTTTATTTCCCTTTAATATTCCCCTTTACTCCAGTTGGAGCTAGTCTTCCTTACCTATACTCCTCTACCATATGAAACTACATCCTGACATTGTCATATCTTTCTGCTATTCCTTGATTCTCTACCATTTATTTGTTCCAGGTCTCCAAATGCCACTTGGAATGCTGGACAAGGTCTTAAGTGATATCTTCTACACAAGGTATACTTCCAAACTGTTATTAACAATTTGCTACATTGGTCATTCATTCCATTCTACTCTGAAATTATGAACCTCATAATTTTTCTTTGGTGTCAGTGATAACTTGCTTTCTAAAGTAGAATTTAAGTTTTTTTCTAAACTAGAATATAACTTTTACCTTGTGTTTTATCTGGTACAAGTTAAGCACCTAGGAGATGTACAATAAGTATTCCTCCAATTACTGGCTGAAAGAGCAGACATAACGTCTGAGGTAAAGTGGCATAGGGAGGAAGACCCTGAGGTACCTGCTACTTGTATTTTAAATGTTATGTGTATAAATTTCTTCTAATATCCGTAACTGAGCCCAGTAGATAATCTATAAAGTTACTGACACTATATTAGCCACTTTAGAAACTCTTCACCTTCCTCTGCCAATTGTGACGATGAAGTCAGTTTGCCTCATTACATGATTTAACAAAAAGAAGCCCGCTTGCTAGGGTATCCTCCAGTTTCTACTGTGTGTGTTTCAACACAAAAACAGCTGGTCTGATCTATCTACTGTTACAATCTGTTTTTCCTTGAGCATTCCCACCTATGTAACTGACTGCTAGCATTAAATAACATATATCATGTTATTAACAATGGAATAAGTAAAAAAACGCTGACCATGGGTATATTAACAAAGAAGCTGACAGCCTGGAAATATTTACTTGATAGGTACTGTTGGCGACCCAGAGCGATGAAAATGAACATTCTGCCACTTTCCATCCCGGCGATGCCACACACGAGTCTCTTCTGACTGCATTGTCTTTGGCATTCCGCTGCCATCCATGTACTGTGTGAGCCTAATGTATGCTATGCAGGCAGCATCATCACCTACCAGGTGTACATGGGGGTTCAGGATAATTGTGTGGATTGGTTTATTGCTTTTGGACAAAGCTGAAAGAGAATAACATGAAAAATAGTTTCTGCATAAAGTAAATCAAAACCAGTAACTTCACCTGGGGCTAATGTACGCAATGCTATTCATTCATTCATTCAACTGTGAATTGTTTGCACTAATTGAGTCCCTGGCAAAGTATAAAGGAAAAGAGAAAAAACAAAAGTAGATAGTCATTATTTTCTGTGTTTCCCTTTATAGCGAATTTAAATGTCACTTTGGAAACTTTGGTGGGAGATGTATTTATTTACAATGGGAAGTGGTTAGAAACAGAAGCCATGATACAAAAACAGAGGGAGAAGGCCTGGCCCAGATGCAGGGAGCAGGTGACAGGATATCCTATGGTCTTGTTCGTTTTTGTTAGTTGGTGAAGTACATGGAACAAGGGAAATATAACAAGTATAAAATATGCAGATAATGGTTTCCAAAACAAGAAAAAACTGGCCATAGCATGAATTTGTTTTCCTATTTCATCCTGTGACTCCTTTACTTCATAATAGTCCAGTGGTAGTCATCCACTGAAAATCCAAAATTTGGTTATTGGTCATCTAGCCTGGTTCTGATTCTTTAGTTCAATCTTTGATTAGTCAGCCCTCTGCAGGTTCTAGCCTTAGGTGTTTTGACAATAGCTACACATTCTAATTATTCAGTGATCAAGAGATGTGAAGATTTAGTGCAAATGATGATTGATGTCATTCTTTTAGATCACTATCACAGCCTGAACTGTTGTTACCTGCTGTCCAAACCAGCTTCCTATTCTCAGAGGATATCTGAGTAAACTACTCAGTGTCACAATCATATACAGAAGAATACCTCACTACGAAGAATATGTATTTATGGTAAGTAATGATACATAGTTTGTGTTGAAGTAAGTTAAATATTTAATGGGTTAATTATTCTTTTACTAGGAGATGAGATGGTGTAAATGGAGAACCAACTGAAAGAAACATTATGAGGATGAGAAAATTTACTGAAGCTTTGTAAGGCCAATTTACCATGTAATTCTTTGTCTCGCAAATGCCCAGTGAATAAAAAAAAAAAAAAAAAGCAAAACCCATGCCAAGGCAGACATTCGTGCTAATGCTTATAATTATTAGAACTGAGCTTGATTATCCTAATCATTAATACACTTAATTTACCAAGATATCACTGAAAAGAGGTGAATTCATTCTTTCCATCATGCAAATGAAACACAATACCTAGTCTTTAGGCATAAGGAAAAGAGGATAAAAGGAATTTCTAGGTTACTTCTTTTTTGATGACCTCAAGGATTTCTGCAGGAGTTTCTTTTGTGTGGCTCTTTGCTCTGAGACCACTAAAATTCTTTTAATGGCAACTGAAATTTTACCTGATCACTCATTTTCATGTATATTTTACTTTGAAAATGAGCACTAAATATACTTGAAAGCATTCCTTTATGTCAAATATTCTGACATGCTGTGGTGTCTTTTATTTTTTCAAATATACACAATGTTCTATGAAAACTTACTTTTTTGGTGATTCATTTTACAGCTTATACATTTACTGGGACTTATATGGGGTATATTCAATCAACATTACCTTTTATAAATCAGATAGTTTTCAAAACACCAAAGCTTTTAAGCTTGTCATTTTTTAAAAATTTCAAATACAGAAAATTTTATGATATAAAATGCTGGACTAAGGTGAAAATTCTCATTGTAGAATACAGCAAAGAAAACTGCAAATCTGGGAGAAATTCAAAGAGAAGTTGGAAAAGGCATGTTATTAAATTTAGAATAAATGTACCATTTTCAAAGTAGAATCGGTGGAAGTCCATCCCTTCCACTAAATTACCCAAAGCTTCAGGTTCAAAAGCAGTAAGGCCGGGGTCACAGATTTTCCTGTAGGGACAAATAAACAACAACAACAAAAACCAAAAATATAATTAAAATAACCAATACATGAGTTAATACATTTTGTTTCCCACATATCCACTCTTATTTATCAAACTGTGAAGGAGTCTCTTCTAAAAAAACACTAACAATATAAAATTTCTTTCACAGGCCTGGTAAGGTACGTTGAGGAGCAAATGCTAAAAAAGCATTTTGCAGAGAACTCTGATGTTGAAAGATAATATAGCAAGTTACAGCAGATGATAATCTATACTACTTTAGGAATCTCTCTTTTTTAAAAATTTCTGCTTTCTCATATTTCCAAGGTGAATTTTCTAGTCTTACTCCAGTTTTTCTCTTAGTTTTTAAATACTAAGTCCAATACACTCTCCAAGTCATACAAAACCAACTTTGTCTCTGACATTAAATAATTTGGAACAAATTAACCTTCTACATTCCTGTCAAGTATCCATATTGTTGATTTGAAGGCATGTGTCACATCCTTTACTTCCTGGAAAAGCTGTATTCAAAGTTTATTGAACTTTTAAAATAAAATTAATAAAATGTACAAATTAGTTTTCTTTTTAATCCTAGAAATGTAATTCAATAAAGAGATGCAACATTTTAAAACTTTCTTTGGAGAAATTCATTCAACAAAGAATTGTTAAACACCTACGATGTAGCAGATATTTTTTGAAACAATTACAATGCAACAATTAAGACAAATAGAAATAAATACAAAGTGCTTAAAAACCAGATTACTTACATATGGGACAGAGAAGATTTAAGAGAAAAAAAATGTGAGCTGGGCTTTCAGGAATATGTAGGAATTGTCCGAATGTGTGGTAGGTGGTAGGAAGAAGGAGGGTAGCAATGACAATAGCATAGTAGTGTGAGTATGTCTGGGGAATAATGGTTAGTCGTTTGATCTGGTGAGCACTGGGTATGCATGTAAATCCATGGAAACAAAGGGGGAAACAGTTCCTTGGGCTTGTGGTGATCAAGGTAGGCTTCTCAGAGGAAGTGACAGAAGATCTGGATTTGACAAATTAGTGGAAGTTTACAAAGTAGATAAGAGGATTTGGGACTATTTTGGGGCTACATCTAAAACATTCCCCTTTGGGGAGGTAAAACATTTTAACTGTTCAACAGAAATACAAGTTTCAAAAGGCCAGCTCACTATGGTTCTTTGCAATATTGTTCATAGAATGTGGAACTGATATTAAGAAAAACTTTAAAAGTAGAAAATACTTTAAAAATCGAACAACAAACCAGTGATTATCCTTTGTGTTGGGGAAAAAAAAAAAAAAAAAAAAAAAAGCCTTAAAAGCAGGGGTAGCCGGTGTAGTGGGGAGGCATTTTACATTTTGCCTTAGACTTGCTGGTGGGCAGGTACTACCAAGCTCAAAGTCAAATATATATAATCTCTAAGAAGCAAATGGGAAGAGCACTGTTTCTACAGTAATGGAATTTCTTCTGCCAGGGGCTACTACTTCCTCTATAAATATGATTTTTGGTTGTCAACATTGGTGAATCAAAATTTTTTACTACCATATATTGGCACTAAAATCATCTGAGAATCACTGTGCCATGATTGATCTCTTTACCTAACCATCAAAAGAGTCAACGGATCTGAAAACCTGTTAATCTGTTCTTTCTCTCTCCTATGTATGTATGCATTTATCGCCTGTCATAGGCTTTGGATTAATAAAGGATTCATAAAGCTGCCTCTTGATGTATGTGTGTGGCACACATGCTCTGAACAGGTATTCTAAGGACTTCACCAATGTATCCTATCATCCAGAAAGCTCCCAAGTGGAAGGTCCTGTTGGATTATCAGCAACATCAGGCCAGATTACAGGCCTCCATAGGCAAACTGATGCAATTCCAAGGGATTGCATTATTTAAAACACCTTACATTGAACTGTTGGAGAAGATAGGAAATATCCCAGTTTTGCCTGGCTACCACCCCCACCAAAACACACTTTTTACTATTCCACAGGAGAATACTAGTACCAAAAAATATATATATTTTTAAAGAGTATTTTCATGTTTAGAGAATCCTATTGGTCTAACAAAGTTATCAGCAAAAAGGATAAAAGAGCAGGTTCTATGGCACGGACTTCTCAACTGTTGAAAAGGGAACTCTGGTCTCTGACATAGTTTTCTTTCAAACTTCATTTTGTACTATTTCAGTTCAGGTATTTATTTTAAATCATGCTAAATAGTTGATACAAATACATATGTATATGCATGTGTTTGCATCTATATGCACATATACAATTTATAAGTAGCAATCTTGGATTTAATTCTTACCCTCAATTACTCTTTTCCATTATTTTATATTTGACTCTTTGTAACTGATGAAAAAAGAAATACCTTACATAAAATTGGGGAAAAAAAAACAACAAAACTTCACATATAATTGCATTTCCCAAGGCAATGTTCTTTTATCCTTTTTAAAACCAATTGGGCATATCTCATTCCATTTTTAATGCTTTTTTAAAATTGTAGCTGGAATAATTAATGGACATCCATGACTATATCATAAGCATTTTGCCAGAGTGCCAGAAACTGCAAAAACATCTACTGTACCAAATGTACCACATATTACTTACTGGTTACCTTAATGTTGGACAGATGTTTCCAATTTTTCACTATTATGAATGCTGCTTCAAAAAATGTTTGTTTATAATTTTTATCCATGCTTTACATTAAAAATCCACACCATGTTACATTTTTGTTATAAGTAAAATTAGAGGGCTAAAACAATTTGAAACTTCATAAATGCTTTCTGGTATATATGAGCTACATGTCCCCCCAACTCCTGCCACCACAACTAACCTAAAGATTTGTTTCTATTTATACCCCATCCAGGAAAGTCACCATAGTCCTGCAGGATCTGCACCCCGTTGGTTGTCAGCAGTTCTTATCCCTGCTGAACTGATGGGCAAAAAATGCTCTTGCTTTGAAATTTGCAAATTTTGGCTTTTTAAAATTATTATTTTGGCTTTTTTTTTTAAGTATACAAGTTTTATCTATTTGGGTTGCCTAATCATTTTATCTTCTCATTTGTGATTATTTCCTTTGCTTTTAAACTTAGAAAAATTATTCCAATCAGAGATCAAATTCAATCTCTTTTTTGCATTTAACTCTTTCATTCAAGAGGAGCTCACTTGTATGGAGTAAGGGGAAGGCTTAGACTGATTTTTTAATCTTCACCCAAACAGCTAGCTTATTGACCCACATACTTTGTGAAATAAGCCTTCATGCCCTATTTATTTGAATGCTTTATTTTTATTTGATTGGAGTAATTTCCTTTATACACTCTATGATCCAGTAGTTCATAAACTAAGCATTTGGACCTTCCTTCAAATAAATTGTTACCTAAGAAACAAACTCATAAAAGAGATGGAGATAGAGCTGAGGTATACTGGCTGAAGAGGAAGAAGGCTGCCTTACGTTGCCTCCTGATCTCTCTCTCTCTCTGTCCCAGAACCTTAACAGAGTTTGAGGCAAAACATTTCTTAAAACAAAATGCCTTTTTTTGTGCTTTTCTCTCTCATAGTTTTGCTCTCATGGATGCTCTGCCTGGAATGCCTTCCCCACACAGAGGTGCTGGTGATTACAAGTCTATAAATTGCCAGAGAAAGCCCCAGTCCTGCTATGAGAAGTTCTTGTCTTTCCTCTCTCGATCCTACATTTATTTCTCCTCTGGGGACACTTAATTTATACCTTGAAATAAAACTACTGCTAACATCAACCTGGGGTTAAATATACACGAATTCTGGTACACTGAAGAACGCATTCACATAGAAAATATTTTGTCATATGCATGAAAGCAAAGTAAGTGTGCCTCTACTCACGTGTAAGCTTCAAAGTCTCCATTGTTGATGGCTTCAATCAGTTGTTCAGTGACTTTGATAATTTCTTGCTTTCGTGCTAAAGGCAAAGATAGAGCATTTTATGTGACTTTTGTCCTTTATTCTCACAAAACTCTAACAATATTGCTATTTTCCTTCAATGGGGTTTTACTGTTGAAGACATAGCCCTCCCTGAACTGTGGTGTTATTCTCTCTGTGATCTTGCTGCTCACAGTGCAGAGATCATATCATTTACTTCTTCAGAGAAACTGATGGACACACAGATTCTCAGGTTCTACTCCAGACCTACAGATTCAGAATCTATATTTTTTAACAGGACCCTCAGGCACCTGAAGTTCAAGACTATTTTTTTTTAATAAGTTCTCGTTACCTTTATCAACTTGAGTTTGTAAATGTTTTTTCTCTTGAATATTAAAAAATGTCTATCTTCAGAGCATAGATGATCTTTTACAATGAGACACTTTGTATATTTTTTACACTTCAGCCCAATCAACTCTACAAAAGGGGGTGCCAACACTGTAACTGCCATCATATTTAGACAAATGGCCTTCAGTAAATTGTGAACTAGAAAACAAACATATGAATCACTATGTGGATGTAGGCAGATAATTAGATAGAAGCTGCCCCACAGAGCTGTCACTCCAACACCAAACACGTTTTGTTTCTATTTCTAGCCCACAATTGGTAAAATTATTAATAGTTGGCTTCGCTCAAATCCCACCTATTCCTGTAAATTCCTCTCTGATTACAACTGCAAGTGTTCTTTGCCTTTTTTGAATGCCTATAGTGTATCACTCATTTGGTAATTAAGCATATGCTATATACCATGACACCTTTAGTTAAATTACTGGTTTTAAATTCTTATTAAACTTTGTTCACTGTGTAACTACATTTCTGTTAAATTAAAAGCTCCCTGTGTGGGGAGGTGATGGTGGGGATGTTATTATTATTATTATTATTATTTTGGTATCCTTTAAGTTTTATTCCAATGTCTTTTTTTTTTTTTTTTTTTTAGATTTTATTTGACAGACAGATATCACAAGTAGGCAGAGAGGCAGGCGGGGGGTGGGGGAGGAAGCAGGCTCCCTACTGAGCAGGGATGTGGGGCTCGATCCTAGGACCCTGGGATCATGACCTGAGCCGAAGGCAGAGGCTTTAACCCACTGAGCCACCCAGGCGCCCCTATTCCAATGTCTTTAATAAAAGAGATGCTCAATAAGTTTGTGAATTTGATCAATTGCTATTAATGATAATCTTTTGACTTCAGAATACTATTCTGTTACTAATGAAATTCATGAAATTTTTAAAAATTAAATTTCCGAGTTTTGCTTTAAGAACAATGTGAAATTTCCTTAAATCACTGGAAATAAACTGGGAGAGTCACAAAAAGTTCTATACATTCTATCTTAGTGAAGTTGCTATTCATCATAGAAAAAGCTTGGTTTTAGTTTGTTATTGATTAAAGGCAACCAGTATGTATTTTCAATGAAACAGATCTTCATTAAACAGGTTTTAACCATAAAATTAAATGTTCACATTATCCAGGTTATGATATTCCTTATTTAAAATAAATATCCAGTAAACCGAACTTGACTTCATTTATACTATATGAGACTAAACTATAAAATATGATTTGTCCATAAAATGGTTGCCAATAATGTCAAGGTTGATAGTATCTAAAAATCACTATATAGACTAGATTTGACATTTAGTTACATAATTAGCTTTCATTTATATTGGGGGGGAAAGAACATAAGGTTTTTTAGCTCCTACACACATTTAAAACATTTTTTGCCTTTGTTCATTTGATTTATGAATATAATATATCCAAGCATCCAAAATATACTGACACAAGTAGTAGCAGGGAATAATTCTGTAAGAGAGATGCTGCCAATGGCACATTTTAGCTTAATTTAGTTTGGCAATAAGTGATTCATTGGTCTCTGGCCTCAACAGTATGAACATTTGGCAAAAATGCATGACAGCTGACCCGATTCTGGAATAGAAAGGATGTTGGTGAGATGGTGCTCAGGAAATGAGATTAAGAAAGTGTGACTACCAAAACTTCCTCGTCAATATTAAATCCTTATTTAAAACTACTAAATTTCTCAGTTTGCTAAGTAAAAAACCACAGGTTAGAAAACCATGTCAATTTTTTAAAACGAAGGGGGAAAACAAACATAAGATCAGTGCCCTTTGTAGAGCTTCATTAGGCAAACACAGTTTACTGAGTTTGAAGAGTTCAAGGTCACTTTCTGAAATTTCCAAAAGTCTCTGCATTCCCTGATAAGCAAAATATGGAATTAAAATATCAAGTATATGTATGGCCATCTCTCACCCTCTGAATCACTGTGGAAATACTTACCAGCTCTTTAATAATTTATATGCTACAACTGGCTTAATTTTGGCCTGCATAATCAAAGCAACACAAATTCCCTTCTCTCTTAGTTCTTAGTCTCAGAAACAATGGTCCTTTAACTGGCAGTAGAGCATGTGGGAATTAGTGAGAATGCTTCTGTGCTGCACCATCATAAAAACAACATGACTATCTTGGCTTCGGAGGAGCCTGGAACTCAGGAATCTTGAGAGTGCTTATTTCCCTGGGGCAAAGGAGCTTGAATGAGTCACAGGCAGCACATGACAGCTGACTCTTTAAAGGAAAGCAGAAGTCTGGAAATGAATCATTTGTACACAGTAGTCTATTGTGGTTGAGACTATTGCCACAGTGACCTACAGGAAGAGTGAGGTTTTGGTGCCAGTTAGCTCTACTTTTCAGCAGTGAGGGTAAAGGACAATCACTGTCCTAGGTGACTGGATGTCTAAGATCTGCAGGAAGAGGCCCCTATCATCTGGCCTTCCGTCTTTGAAAAGATTAAGTAATGACCACTCCAGAAGTCAAAGTGGGGACAGCTTGTGATGTGTCACTAATTAACCCTTAAGATGAAGGAAGAGTGTACCAATACAGCATCCTCTGAATACCAAAAGTTTTTCCATCCTTAGCCAGCACTTTAATCACAGAGAACTGATGACCCAGTGGTTTTATTTACAGAATGGAGGCACTCAAGCCTTGACCCACAAGTCCCAAAATAGTTTCTGGGGACTTCCAGGTGTCTAGGGGAACCGCAGGAGAGAAAAGTAAGTGGGAGAGACGCTCCAGATCCTGAATATAATTGCTTCCATGCAACTACGCAAAAGAACTAGGAATATTTTCATGTTCAAATTCCTATCTTTTTGGCTCTTTCATTGTTCTAAAGAGGCCTGGAAGAGTAAGATAAGAGTTTGAATGGTCCCAGTGTTAAAAACCAACCAACCAAACAAGAAGCCCTGGGAACTGAGAATGATTACATAATAAAAATGACAGATTTCAACATTTCTCAAACATTAGCAGATCTTATCTGATCAGATCAACAATATCAGATCTGATCAACAATGATCTGAGATATGCAGACAAACATTACCTGTTTAACAGGTAAACAAGCAGATTATAGGCACTGCCCAAAGGCACAGTGTTTGCTGATTACTCTTTCCCTCCTTCCTGAAATACTCACTTTCTTCCTGCTTTTCTTACTAATTATGTGGTCACATGAACTCACTCTCATCTGCTATGTTATCTTTCCTTACCTGGACTTTATATGTTTTAATTCCTTTTAAAGGTTTGATTTGAGGCCCTCCTCTCCACAGACACTGTTATCCCTATGATCCTGTCCACACCAGTATTTTATATTGCCATTTATGGTCCAATGACTCCTGCCTTGTTGCTTCCTTTTTTCTAGTCCTTTCCTTCAGATCTGTGTGTCAATGCCTATTTTGGAATCTTCACCTGGATATTTCAAATGCTTCTTTAACTCAGCATACCCTAAACTGAGCTTATGAACTCCTACTCCCCTACAAATCTAGTTGCTTTTCCAGGGATCTCCCTCTTGGTAAAATGGCAACATCATCATCCAGTTGTGCAAACCAGAAAAAACCCTGAGATTTGTCTTTGACTCCCACACCCCACCCACACTAATTTTTCAAGTTCTGCTGATTTTATTTTTTAAAATGTCTTACATATTAGTTTACTTCGTTCCTTCTTCACTACCACTCTGGTAGAAGCACCCACCACTTCTTGTCCAGAATAAATATCTGGAGACTTATGAAATCTTCAATAATCTAGACACTTCCCATCTCACCAGACCCATTCAAAGGCTCTTTTACTTTATCCTCTCCAATCTATCCATATAGCCTACTCTCAGAAATTCAAAATGGCCATGCTTCCTTCTTTTGTCAGCCCTTCGTATATGTTATCCTCTCTTCTTGGAAAACTGTCCCCTATTTCTGCTTCCACTTTAATCAAATCTCAACTATTGTTTCTTCAAAAAAAGCCTTTCCTGACCCTCATTTTAGGAGAGATCTTGATCTCTATGTTTTAAATTCACACATATCCTACAACTGCTGTTTAAAATCATTTAGTACACATGTATTTACATATTTATTTGTGTATATTTGATTACATTTTCTCTATTTGTAAGCTCCATGGGGACAGATACCTTACCTCTGCAACCCAATATCTAGCATAGTACATGTTTAATAAATATTTGAATGAATAATGGTCCAGAACAAACTCAAGCACTTTCTGATTCCCAATCCAGTGGCCTTTCCAACATATACATTTTTTAGTGAGGGTCAGATAGCCTTTAAAAAATATATAATTGATAAATGGAAACAATTCAGATATAAAGAAGCATGTCTTGTTGCCTACGATGATGAAAGAAAAGTCTTCAACTTGTCTAAAACTACACATCAAATTTCCTTCTCTGATTTCCTCACTTTTGCTAATGAGATCACAATTTTACCAGTCTTGTCCTCATATTCTGTCCTCCACAAGTCATAATTTTTCATTATCAGCTATGATGATGTTTCCCAACATATATCCTCAGCCTGTTCATCTTTTTGCTTGTCCTTGGCAATCTTACTTATTCTCTGCCTTTGACCACCTAATGAAGACTGCCAAATCTCTATCACTAACCTTAAACCTTTCTAGGCTCCAAGTTCATATTTCTTTTTTTTTTTTTTAAA